GTCAGATATTGTCCAAGATTAATATTTAGGGTGGATATAGTTCGCTCACACAGATGACCTATCCACGTCATCATTTACCCAGAATGCTTTGTGTGTAAATAAAATGTCTCCGTCCGTGTTAAAAAATATATTTTTAAAATTCACAAAACTAAACAGCCTTACAGTATTTTACAGTCTTTATTTTACAGTTAAAATATATGTTTATCAAATAAAGTCTAATGTTACAACTAATTAGGGATCCCTTGAAAAAAAGGCATTATGAAAACATAAGTTTTCCAAACAAATGCTGTTGCACTGCAAAAGTTAAAAAGAAACACACAACACAAGTGATTAAGGAAATATTTAATCAACAGTTTTGCAAAAAAAATGTGCTCACTTTGATTTACAATGCACCTCGGATGCTGAATGTCAGCTTAGATAGGTTTTTTGCAGAAGTGGCCGCAAAATGACGGGCAGCACTTTTCTTCACCTGCACAGTATCCATCATGATAGCAGCTGTTCCCACACGGGTGAAAGGGTATGATACCACAGTGGCCCGGCTTCACTGATGCACCAGAAACAAAAACACTCAGTGGCACAATACTCCTGGAGGATTTATTTGACCATATATTGTTCATGTCTCACCTATTTTGGGTGGCATGCACTCATGTCCGCATCCATTGTAGCAGCATTTTTTACCATTCAAACAGTCATCATCGTCGTGGCAAAGGTCATCACATGTCCCAGTCCCAGTGGAGTCAGGACACAGAGCCTTTACTGAAGGGTAAAGAAAAGGTAGTCTGATTTTTAAATTTAAAAATAAATATCTATGCTTTAATTTAGCATCACTTTGCTCACTAAAACAGCTTTAGGTAAAGATATGAAGACTACATGAGCAGGTGTTGTGGTTCTTACTGTAAACAGGAGCAACACAGGCAGATCCGCACCGATAGGTGCAGCATTTGTTATCTCCATGGCAGTCTTGATCACTTGAACATCCCAAACGTGACGGGAAGTTAAAAAGGTAGCGGGGGCACTGGCCTGGTTTTGGAGGGGGACCTCATAGAAAGAAAAGAAAATGTTCCGGGTTAACACTATAAGTCCAGATGTACTTTGTTAAAAAGAGAAAAATGATGAAACTGACATGACAAAAAAATGAAATACATCAAACTTAACTTACCTATGTCTGGAACAAAAATCGAGTAAGCTTGCACAAATACACTCAGTGCAATCAACACACCTAGTGTACACCGGCGTGTCTCCATGGTCCTTTATTGCAACAAACTGGGGCTCCTGGAATCCTGTTTGAACAAATATCAAAGAACACAAACAGGAGGCAGAGCTGCACAGAGGAGGCTGGGTCCTTGTGCCTGCACCCCCTTTTTAAAAAAGTATTTTCTTTTTGTTTGTTTTGAAAATGTGTTTCCTATCATTAGCTTAAAATAAATGTTCCCAATTTTTCTTTTTTTTTTTAAAGGACAAAATAAGATTTAAAAAAAGCACTGCAGGAACCACTCTGTTAATGCAGGTTTAGTTTGGCATGATGTTTTAGACCTCATTGACTATATGATTATAGAAATACAGTAGCTAAAGAGCAGAGAAATTAATTAATTAGTCAATGGTAAAATATATGTAGATTAATCTTCTGAATCAATGAATCAATGAAACACATAAATAAATAAATAAATA